CTCTCTACGTGACCTCAGAGAGGTCATGTGACTTGTCCAGGCTCACACAGTCAGTGGCAGAGTCTGGACAGGGACCCAGGTCTGTCTGACTCACAGCTGGGGCCTTCTCCACTGGGAGCATGGGACTCTAATGTTTGTCTATTATAGTTTACACTGGCTGCATACATCAGCGGTTTAGAGCAAGAAGAGACCCAGCCTCTCCTTTATTTCACTTGTAAGGAAACTCAGGCCCAGAGGGGTGAAGAGATGTCCCTAAGGCCCAATGACCCAGAGGGGGTGAGGGCAGAATCCAGGCTGCAGAACTCCTGGCCAGCACTCCCTTTCCCCTGCACGCCCCATCTCATCTGGACTTGCCATGGCAACCAACCCTCCTTTCGGCGTGGGAAGCAGAGGCTGACTAGCGGTTACCTAGCAACCCCCCATAACCAGGTCAGACGGAGCAGGGGGAGGGAGGCGCCCCTTGCTGCCCACCCCGGGGAATTCTGACCTGTGGAAATGGAACTGCCCACATCAGAATGCGCTCACCAATGACCCTGGGGAGAGCCATACCTGGGAGAGCCTGTGCTGCAGAGGCTCCTTGAGTTGCTGGGATTTATGACACAGATCAGGCTGGCTGGGGCCTCTGTCCCACAGCAGACACAGGGTCTCATTATGTGGGGTCTGGCTTCTGTGAATAGCATGGAATCTGATCTCACTGACGTGCTGGCTTCATCTGCATGTGGAAATCCACACAGGAGGGTGGATGGGAGAGTGTGTGTGTGTGTGTGTGTGTGTCTGACTACATAGGCATTTTGACTTGGGGAAAAGCTGGGGAATGGTGCTCCCTCACACTGCATTCTTGTTCCTTAACTACCTCAAGAGATGTTTATGGAACGATCTGGTCATTTAAGATGTGTTTCTTTTAATATCCCCTGTAGCCTGGGTCTTGACAGCCACTGCCACATCCTTTATTAGACAAATATTTATTGAGCCTCTGTATGTCATGCACAGTGCTGGATGCTGGGCAGACAACAGCTTACAAAACAGAGGTGACTCCTGCCCCCAGGGAGCTTACAGTCTAACAGTCATACAGCCAGTCTGGTGCCATCATCGAGGGCGGCTCAGGAAAAGCCCCGGCACCACGAGGCGGCCCCTGGAAGGCCCGAGAAACCCTGTGGTCTGGCCCTGCCATGGCATAGGGGTGAGTGAAATGTTTGGCCAAGTCCAGCAGGCTGATTTTTACGTTGGTAGTTTGGTATGGCTGCGGAAGAGGCTATAAATATCCAAGTGGCCCTTGGCAGAAACAAGGTTCCCCACCCCTGGCAATGGGAAGGACGGTTTTAGATTAAGGGCCAGAAAAGGACAATCTGAGAAAGTGACATTTAAACCAAGACCTGGAGACGCATGGCAATCAGCCAGGGGAAGAACAGGGCAGGCGTTCCAGGGAACAGCGGGTGCAAAGGACGTGGGGACACACCTTGGCCATCTGGGGGCTGAGCGAAGGCCAGTGGGGCAGGAGCATGGAGGGAAGGAGGGGAGAGGCACTGGGGGAGGGGGGGGGGGCTGTTGAGGAAGGCAGGGCCAGACCTCACAGGGCCACGCTAGGACTTTGCATTTTAACCCAAGTGCAAGGGGCAAGATGCAATCAGATTCCGTCGTCCATGTGTAGAAGGGAGCAGGGGCAAGAGGGCAGCAGGGAGAAAGGCGGAGGCTGGCTCAGTTGCCGGAGGGAGAGAGGTCACCGGCATGGCTGTGATCAGGGGGAGACGTGAAGGACCTGAGCAGTATTTAAAGAAAGAACTGACACGATGTTTTTCTCATGCCCGTGCCTTGCTAGAGCTGATGATTTCAGACAGACGGCGGCGCCCTGGCCGTGCCATCCACCTCCCATGCGGCCTGTTTTGCTTTGGGCTGGCTCAGACCTAAGGATGTCACAAGGCCACTCCCCTGCCGCCCAGCAGGCCCACACCCGAGGACGGGAATCGATTTAAAGATTTCCTGAGAAGGCTTTCACAACCGCAACCTTTGCTCACGCTCAGAATCATTACCATTTGGAAATCCCAGTTTGTGCTTCACCTGAATGCCCCTCCCCCTAAAATTTCCCGGCTCCTGATGGAGGTGAAGATGCTGTAATAATACGTCGCCTGGGCAGCCAAATGTGACGTCATGACGACAGTTCTGAATCATGTCTCTGTCCCACAGCCCAAGTGGCTCACTTGTTAGCAAAAAGGAGAGATGCCCTAACGTCCCTAGAAGAGGGATCCAGGTCCAAGTAGCTGTTTAGCTCACTGCCAAGTCCTCTGCCCTGTGCTCCCATGTGGGCCGTGGCCACCCCTGAGGCTGGCCGAGAGGCAGGACGGGTCAGGACCTGCGTCTTAACACACGCTCCAGGCAACTCCCAGCACGTTTATTTTGAGAAGCACCAGCCTTAGCTCACCCCAAGGCCGTTAAAAGTGGGTGGGCAGGGCAGGTGCCAGGCGTTGGAAACGCAGCGAGCCTCGGCTTGCGGAACTCCGCATGCCGTTGGTGAAACCCAACTGGTCCGACAGGAACTGGATTTTTCGCTGGAAGTTCCCTGGTCCCAAGGCCCACAGGGCACTGCAGCCGCGTTCAGAGGCAGTGTGCTGCTTCCTGGTTGTGCGGCCCGGGGCACTGGTGGCCGCGCCCCGGGGCTGGGATGCTACTGGACGCACTTGCACTCGCAGGGGCTCCAGCGCCCAGGAGGGTCGGCCTCCCTCCCCTGGAGCGGACAGTGTGGGCCTGGTCCTCGCAGAGTGGTCCCCAAGGCTCTTGTTCTCTGGGTGGCCAGGGTGGCACCTTCCTTCTGAGCTGAGCATCTAATGAGCAGGCGGTTTTGGTGCTCAGTTAAAACGACTCCCACAGGGGCCTCTGGAGGGAGAGAGGGCCCAGTCCCAGGGGCTCTGAAAGCTCTGCCCACACTGTGTGGCCAGCCTCCTGTGCTGTGTGTGTGTGTGTGTGTGTGTGTGTGTGTGTGTGTAACCAGGCAGCCCCACGAAACAAGGGCCCTTATCACCGCTTTCTTGGAAAGTGTTTCAAGGCCCGAAATCCAGGCCAGAACCAAATCCTCTGATTCTGTCCTCACCGGGGCTGGTCCTCACATGATCAGACAGACGGATCCAGTCTGAGGGCTGTTTGAAGCATGGGTTGTAAATGCTGTAAAATCAGACATTAATTCTGGCTTTTATTTTCCACACCGTGTTTCCATTGCCTCGCACCACAAAGCTGACTGAGTCCCCTCTGCCTCTGCTCTGTCTTCATTCCTGCGGTGCCTTTGCCCCTACCTGCTGGCTTCATCTCTCCGCTCCAGTTCCTCCTCCCACCTGCTCCGCCTCGCCCTCCTCCGGAGCGTCTGCCTGCTGACTCCAGCGTCTTCCGGCCTGCCCCACTTAACCTCTGGCTCCCTCCCCTCCCTCTGCGCCTCTCACCGGCTCTCTCATCTTTTGAAATGTCTTCGTTACTTTTCCTTCTTGTGCTTTCATTTTCAGAGGCTACAAGATGCCCCTCATGCACGCTTGCCTCTCCGCTCCTCTCAGGCTATTCTCTCCCCTCCCACGGCCCACCACGTGTCCCTTCATGTCCTGTTTGTCTCTAAAGGTCTCATGGGGATCAGAGAATCGCAGACTTCAGAGTCACAGGGACATAGCCCGCATTATACTGACAAACTCGTTCTTCTGCTTCTATCCCCTGCAGTGATGGCTGTCCCTCCCTCCTTAGAGCAGCAAGGACTGAGGAAGAAGGAACAGACCCCACTCACCACACATGCCCCTCACTAACACTCAGCCCACCCTTTCTTCATGGCTCAGCACGCACACACACACACACACACACACACACCCTTCCAGGTGCCCTCCGGCAGAGGTGTGCTGCCAGCTACCCCGGGCACTGAGCATCCTTCCCCAGGGCCCCTTTCCCCGCTGGCTGGTCTGTTCATGCCCAGGGGGCGTCCTGGGAGTCAGCCCGCTTGGAGATGCTGAGAGAGGGGGGGTCCCCAGGTGCAGCTCTTGGTGGAGGAAAGGTGCCAGCCCAGGTCCGACGGTCAGGGGAACAGGAAGTTCATCTGAAATCCAGGCCCCACCCGAGGTCATGTTCAAACAACCAATTAGCCAGTCACTAGTCCGTGCTCTTGTGGCGTGGGCTTCTCTCGGTGCCGCTGGGCAAGGCATCTTCAAAACGCAGAAAACCAAGACACAAAACAGAGCCCAGAAGAGACATCTGTATCCACAGAACAAGACTTCTCTGCCTGCGTCCTGGGCCAGGGCTTCTCCGAGAAGCACTTTCTTAGAAGCCAGGACACAGAGTGTACACCAGGCCCGCCCCGGGGAGATGTGTGACAGCCCCTTCCCTCCCCAGCGCCTGGCCCCGCACGTGTCCCCGTGTGTCCACACCGGCCGCAGGAGAGCGGCAGCCCAGGAGCAGCCACTGACGGAGAGGAGGTGCCGGCCGTGCCCAGGCCTCACACCCAGCCGCGCCACTGCACCCTAATTCTCAATCCAGCACGCTCTCCCTGGAGACCAGGCGGGAGGCTGCCCTGCAAACCCTCGGGGTGAGCGGGCGTGCAGGTGAGCCCGAACACGCCCGCCGAGGCCGCCCCAGCCTGCGGTTCTGCGTCCAGCTCCGGGTGTGGGTCTCTGCTCAGCGCCTGGAAAATTCCCAAGACCAGGGGAACGTGGTGCCATCTTTAGGAGAGGAAAGACTTCAATTTCCCTGCCCCCACCTCCCCCAAGCGCCCCACCTCCTACACACCCCTTTGGGGGACAGAAAAACAAGTATGAATATAAGCTTCCACCTGAGTTCCTTTCATATCAACTAATTAACCAACTAAATTGCCAATAAATTACTATTATAAAATGTGTGCATTCATAGGCATGTATATGGGTGCGCGCGTGTGCGCGCGCGCACACACACACACACACACACACACGCACACATGCACTTCCAGCCTTTCCTCCTCGCTGCTTCTTGCCAGCCGCTCAGACACGAGCCTCCGGCCAGGAAGGGCTTCACCGGATCATGGGCGCCACGTAGTTGGCAGGGAAGAGGCCCAGCTTGTTGTGCAGGCGGCCGGTCCACCAGGACGGGTTGGAGCTGTCCAGGACCTCGACCACCTCTCCGGAGCGGAACCCCAGCTCGTCGTCCTCCAGGGCCTCGAAGTCGTACAGCGCCCGGGCCCACCGCACGCGCTGTGGGGGAGTCACAGGGGTCCTATGAGCTGGCGGCCTCCGAGCCACTGCCACGCAGCAGGGACTCTGCTGGCTTTGACACTGAGCGGCCCGCCCTGAAGGCTGACGTGCCTCTCGGAGACATTTCGCCCCACAGCACCGGGAAGCAGATGCGGCTGCCCGGCCCTGAGCCCCGAGTCCAAGAGTCATCGCCGAGGCTCAGGACTTGGGCTGACAGAGTCTCCGAGGCCCCAGGAGAACCCTTGAGGACGACTCTCCCTACACCGACAGAGGCTCTTTCTACTTTGTTCACGCGACAAGCAGAACGGCAGTGTCCAAACAAACAGCCCTGAGTCAGGATGGAGCAGTGATCCTGGTAACGCATCTCCCTCCACCAGGACCAGAGCCAGGAAATGGGAGAAGGTCAGGGCAAGGCCCCCGGCCAGCCGAGAACAAGGGCTGGGCTGTGCTGGGCTGGGACCACCCCTGCCGGGAACACCCCACCCCCCCACGGTCACTATCTGGGTTCCCACTCCCTCTGTGTGAGCATCTTTCCTGAAGACCAACCGTTTCTCTAATGGCCCCCCTCCCTCCTCCACTGAGCCCGGAGGGAAGGTCACGCACCCCGGCCACCTGCAGCTGCACTGGGTCCGTGTGCCTCCGGTGCATGAGGGTGGCGTTCATCTCGCTGCCCATGCTCATGCCGCAGTGTCCGTCGTTTATGTCAAGGCTGCCTCCACGGCGGTCCTAGAAACAGACGCAAGAGAGGACCTGTCGTCACGCCGGCACCCCTCGCTGCCTCCCCCAGTGCCTTGCTCGGATAAACACGCCCGGGTTCCAGTAATACTTGTTGATGACGGCAATAAGCCCTATAGAGCAGTGGTTCTCAGCCTTTCTAATGGCGCGACCCTTTAGTACAGCTCCTCATATTGTGGTGACCCCCAACCATGACATTATTTTCCTTGCTACTTCATAACTGTAACTTTGCTACTGTTAATGAAACATAAGGTAAATATCTGTGTTTTCCGATGGTCTTAGGCTCTACAGTTGCAGCCCACAGGTTGAGAACCGCTAGCAGGGTCGCCTAAGACCATCGGAAAACACAGATATTTACATTACAATTCATAACAGTAGCAAAATCACAGTTATGAAGTAGCAACGAAAATAATGTTATGGTTGGGGGTCAGCACATGAGGAGCTGGATTAGAGGGTCGCGGCGTTAAGAGAGGTTGAGAACCGCTGAGCTAGAAGATGGTGAGGGGCGGAGGGATGAAAGGCACCTAAGATTCTGAAGACAAAGGTGATGGCAGGCCCCAATTATGCAAGCGCTCCATGCTGCTCTCAGCCATGGGGACACGGAGCTGGGAAGAGAAGGTCCCTGTCTTCATGGGCGTCAGTCCCGAGGGGGAAGCATGCACATGTAAGAGGTAAGTGAGCAGGGAGACGAATGTTTACGTCTGCCCGGGCAACCAGGGAGGGCTTCACAGAGGAAGTGATGCTTGAATTGCAGCTTAAGGGGGCGCGCCAGGAAAGGGTGTCTGAGGCAGAGGGCACAGCACATAACAAGCCTCGAAGGCATGAAAGAAGAAACAACGGGCATGAAGGCAGTGGGCATTGCTGAAATGTGTGTGTGTGGGCAGCAGAGGGAGGTAGCGGGAGAGAGGCTGGGAAACAGATATACGCAGCTCACAAAGGACTCTGTATGCCCCGCTAAGGAATTTACGGACGATGTTATCCGGCTGTATTGTCCATCTCGGTAAGCCACCTTAAATCCCATCTGGGCAAGGCGGGGGAAGTAAATAAATAAGTAAGGCAGGCAGGCTCCACAGCAGGTGTTAATCCGTCTTTCTTGTAGATCGCCACAGCCCGGTGGGGTAAGGGACGTGAACAGATTGGAAATGGTGCTGATGGGAAAATGAAACAATTGTTCCCCGAGTCCTTGGGTAAGAAAGGGTGTGAGTGTGAGTGTGAGTTTGAGTATGAGTGTGTGTGAGTTAGTGTATGTGTGTGAGTGTGTGTGTGTGTGTGTGTGTGAGTGTGTGTGTGTGAGTGTGAGTGTATGTGAGTGTGTGTGTGTGTGAGTATTGTATGTGTGAGTGTGTGTGTGTGTATTGTATGTGTGTGTGTGTGTCTGTGAGTGTGTTTGTGAGTGTGTGTGAGTGTGTGTGTGTGTGAGAGTGTGTGAGAGTGTGAGTGTGTGCGTGAGAGTGTGTGTGTGTGTGCAAGGAGCCTGAACACACACACACAAGCTTCTTTGTCAAACCAGTTCCCATATTATATTTCTACCTCTTGGGGCCCCAGGATCTTCTTCTTTTTAAAAAAAAAAAAAATGTTTTTATTGATTTCAGAGAGGAATGGAGAGGGAGAGAGAGAAACATCAATGATGAGAGAAAATCGTTGATTGGCTGCCTCTTGCACGCCCCCCACTGGGGATCAAGCCCCCAACCTGGACATGTGCCCTTGACCAGAATTGAATCTGGGACCTTTCAGTCCACAGACAGACGCTCTATCCACTGAGTCAAACTGGCGAGGGTCCTAGCGTCTTCTTTATGAACTTTGTGAGACCTGCTGAGGTGGGGCCAGGCCGGCAGCCCAGGACCCCACAGAACCATGGTGTTTATTTGCTATGGCTGTTTCCAGCCTCGCAGTAAGTGGCAGTGGATCAAGTTGACCTGAGGCTCGGGTGGGGGTGGGGGTGAGGGAGAGAAGGGCCTGCCCCCACCTCACTGTGCCCACCCCATCCCTTCCAGATACCTGATGAAAGTGGTGATGCTGCAGGTACCGCTGCTGTGCCGGCGGTGGGGCCGGGGGATACTGTGATGGAGGGGGTGGTGGGTGATCCGACAGCTTCCGGTTCATGGCAGGCCGGCTCTCTTCTCCCACAGCCCCGCTGGTATGTGGGCCTCCCTGGGGCCATCGGTCCAGGCTGTTGCCCCGGCGACCCTGGGAGAGAACAAGGATGACCCATCGTCCTCCCGTGTCTCCTGGCTCTCCCCCACTCTTCAGGCAGCTGTTCCCAGATTGCTCATGACAGCCCCAAGAAACCGCTGACAGGTTGGGGGGCATCTTAGAGAGAACCCATGGTTCAGAGCCTCATATTCTCCTACTGTGGGGATGTCAGCTCTCTGGGCCACAGACTGACACTTTCCATATGGTCTCCATTTAGTCCCTTCCTAGTGGGCTTGTTTCCTCTCTGCGTAATCAAGCTTAAACATTCTCTTACTGACACAATGCCAGCCCTCCTTATCGCATGTTGCCACAATGCCGGACATGCTACCCTCCAGATAAGCTCTGCTATTGACTTTGCATGATTCTGAACTGTCATTTATAGCCTGGTGATGAGACACAAACACAACACTCCTGCAGCACCATGGAAACCAGGCCTGCCCGGGGCATGCTGGGAGGCACAAGGCCTTCTTCTCAAGGGTCTCCACCTCAGGAATCAGAGACCGTTATTTTTATGTAACAGTTGTAGAGGGGTTTAGAATATGCCAGGCCCCGTTCTAAGCACTTTACAGGTACGAACGGATCGAATCCAGTTTAGGGCAGTTTCAGGTGGCCTCTATGTCTGCATGCACATCCCAGTGAATTAATACCCTGTCCGTTTCCTGGTTACAATAACTCACAAGGTCTTGGCCAACCTTTGTTTTTCTTTCTGAACTTCTGTGTGCACTTGGTGGGAACACCCTTTTCTCCTTTGATGGTAACTTCTCAGGCTGAAAAAGCAGCCAATTACTTGAAAGGGACGGTTTCCTTTGTTTCCCCACAGCATGTGCTGCTCTCACAGTCTCAATGCCTTTCAGAGAGCCCGTCCCTGGATTTCAGCTACTCCGGTCAACGCTTCTTCCCAGACCTCTCTCTTATGTGTTTTCCTTTGAAAATCATTTTATAAATTGTGTGTGTGTGTGTGTCTGTGAATTTACTCATGGGAGACAAGTTAGTATTTTCATTGTACTTACTATGGATCAGAATCTGTGGCAAGTGCTATAACTATTATATACCGGCATTTTCTCAATTAATCCTCATAACAGCCCATTCTATATTCATAAAGGTTTCTTTTTTGTTTTTATGTTTTTTAATTCCTCATTAGAGGATATATTTTTATTGATTTTAGAGAGAGGAAGAGGGGTAATGAGAGTGAGTGAGAGAGAGATAGACATTGATGTGAGAGAGAAACATCAATGAGTTGCCTCCTGTATGTGTCCCCAACTGGGAATCAAACCTGCAACTTGAGTATGTACCCTGTGGGATTCGAACTCACAATCTTTAGGAGCACGGGATAACACTTCAACCAAGTGAGCCACCGGCCAGGGCAGAAAGGTTTCTTAACTCGGCAGGTCATAAGGATAGCTAGTGTGAAATCAGGATTTAAAGCCAGCTCTTGTCTGATGCATTTTCTGTGAAAACAAGTCTCTACATTCCAAATTTCCCAAGAGCAGGAATTCTAGGACTATGCTTATTATAAATCCTGTATGACACTAAGTTTTCCACTCCGATGCCTCCTCTCCACCCCAAATCCTGTCACAAAGCTCTAGCTCTGGGCTGGAACTGTGATGCAGTGGTGTCTGTCCACAGTAAGAGCCCCACTGCACCGAGGCCTGCATGGTTAGGAGTGATATCCGGGAAGGGGACGCATTATCTTCTCTCCTTCACACCCACCCTGGGAGGTGGCTATCACTGTCATCCTGATTTCGTGGATGAGGAAACTGAGGATGGGAGAACTTTCCAGAGTCACCTGGCTAGGGGTTTAAACTGAGATCTGACTTCGAATGATTCTACCTTTCAGAATCCTCAGAGGACTTGCCCATCAAATACATCGTCTTGGTGGTTCATGTAAGACTCCAGCTGCCTAAAATCCCTAGTGGGCCTGGCCGGTGTGGCTCAGTGGTTGAGGGTTAACCCTCACTGTTCTAGAGGTCACTGTTCTATTCCCGGTCAGGGCACATGCCCAGTTGCAGGCTCAATCTCCAGTAGGAGACATGCAGGAGGAAGCCAATCAATGATTCTCTCTCATATTGATGTTTTCTTCCCTCTCTCCTTCTCCCTTCCTCTCCCTGAAATCAATTATATATATGAAAACATTTTTTTTTTTCAATCCTGAGATAGGCTGACCTGGTCCTCTCGCGTTCTATCCCTCAGGAAGATCTGCTTCTGTTTGGAGATAGACGTTGTCCTGTAGTAGTCCACCAGCTTGTTGAGGGACGGAAACTTCTCTGTCCACAGGAAGTAGTTACCCTTGTTGTCCCTCATGACCTTGAAGTGCTGAACATCATCCTCGTGCCTAGAGATCAAGGCAAATCCAAACTGTGTGTTACACGGTGACAGTGTCCCCGCCTTCGGGGTTGATGGCATCTGGGGATGCCAAGCGAGTTCTGTTAGGGCAGGACATGGCGATATGGGGAGCTCATCACTAGGCAGGTGGGTTAGTCAAGCTCTAGCAGAAAAGTGCGGTTCAGGACACAGGCTGCACAAGAGCAGAAGGTAATGTGTCTTCAGACACCGGAGTCGACCTTTTACAAGAAAAAATGTGCCCAGTGCTTTAAAGACTATGAGGTCAAGGCCTTTCCACTATGTTTATCTGAAACATGGCCACCCCTGAGCAATGTACTATGCTAAGGACTCTGGTTTTTTAAGCCTTGTTATCTTTCCGTTATCAGAAATACTTTGACCCAGCTCCTTCAAGCCCACAGGCTTGCTCTGGAGAGTCAGACCTACCATGAGAAGTGTGTCATACTTGGTCTCTATATTGGTCTCTTGGTCTTGGTTTATGTTGTGCATAAATAAGGTTGCAAAGCATTTTGAGCTTTTGGGGAAAGAAGGATCACCTAGAATTGTGGAGTTTTCATTGGAACAGACTCCAGAGATTGTTTATCCTCATGTCTCCATGTTACAGCTGAAGGTGCTGAGACTCTGAGAGGTGGAGGGCCTTGGTCAAGGTCCCCACGAGTGAGTGGCAGAGCTGAGGCAAGAACCCCGGGTCTCTGACGCCTGCCTGCCACACCACGTATACATGCCAACGCCTTTAGATGGGCATCTTTCAGCACCAGCTGGACTCACAGGGCAGGGGCACATTTGTAGTGGGTTGGAGAGATTGGATTTTATTCATTGCGAAAGGGAGGACTGGACCTTTACTAATAGCTCCAAGTCACTCTCTTTAGAATATCAAGTTTATGAGTGAAATGGACACACATTTCTATCTAAAAATTAACTGATGTTAATACTGCCAATTGCCTGACCCAGCAGAAAATTCAAGAATTTAGAGTGTTGGAGAGTGAAGACACATCTGAAGGATGGAGAGTGGAGCTTTCTTAGGGATGGAGTTAGTGGTCTGTGCTCAGAGGGGACAGGAATTCTGACCATCGGGTTCATTTACGTGCTGGGCTCTGCTGTGGGCAGGTGAACCCATGCAGTGAACTTGGCTGTGGCGGCTCTGGAGTGGTAACCAACACTGTGCATCATGGCATGGCCAGTCCCAGACGTTTTCTTCCTGTAACATCACCTGGCTCAGCTCACAGTCCTTACTCCTCACACTGGGGTGAAGAGGAGGAACTCTCCTTGGGGTATGTTATTCATCCTCGCCTCTGGTCAAAGACCACAGAGTGAGAAACATTAACCCTTTCACTCTCGTGAACTGGGAGTGGGGGGGATGCCAGGATTATGGTGGAGAGAGCGTGTTCTGGGAGGGGCAGAGAAAAGGCTGAAGTCTAGTATTTCAGATGCTTATCAAAATGCTAAGTGACAGAACTACAATTAGCTCTTAATTATCTGTGCCCATGACAGAAAGCAAATGTGTAAATAAATTAAAAAAATGACCTTGCTCTGGAATGCGTTACCCTACTTTTCGGCAGACGATGAGATCATGATTATGGTAATGATCGCTGTTACAAGGAGCTGCATTGCCTCCGGAGCAGGGGAAGGCTCTGGCGGAAGGCAGGGCTGACTGCTTTATAGAATCTACTTCAGTCAAGGAGCTGGAAGTCATAGTTCCCGGCTGAAGAGGCCAGAGCCAACTTCACGCACCAGGAGGTGCCCTTCAGTTCGACAACTCACTTGGTCCATCCCATACCCATGGCCCTTAAGAACTAGGTTAGGCTCGTAAGGTTTATTGATAGAGCAAAATTTCATTAAGAGATGTAACAAGCTTAGAATTGTGAGACATTGCTATTGGCCTGACCTAGCATATACCACTGTCCGGGATGCGAAAAAGAAAGGAAAATTAAAGAGTTTAAGCGAGACTCCAAGGGCAATGCACACAAGCCCAAGCTATTTTTGAGCACTCGAGAGGCACGTGCACAGACAAATCACTGACCCATATGTGTCTGCCCCTCCCACCGAGTCCTTAAAATATCCATTCTTCCTAAATAGTAAAGTGACCTCAGTTTGTTAGCCGAGATCGGAGTTATGTACTCAGGCCGCGGGCCTTTCAAAATACATTGAGTGATCCAGACCAGCGTTTCCTGTCAACCAACTCGACAGCAGGCTTCGCCGTGCAGGCTGTCACCCTCCCGTGCTGCCATCAGCACGAATGCTTGCACTTTCACACGTGGTTACCACGTCTGAAATGTGACAGGCAGCCCCGGCCATGCTGACCACACGCAGTGGTGGCTGGGGGCTTCTGAGTGTGGGGCCGCGTCACACTTGTGCCTGGACTGAGTCACTTCCTCTGGGTGCTGCGCGGGAGGGAGTTTGCTGTTAGTCTCCCACCCGCGCCCGCCTGGGCTCTGCCCTGCTGCCTGCTGTGGGCGTTTGGTGTGGCCATCCTCCACTCCATATGTGCCCTGGGCGGATGACTGGGGGTTTTCATTCCTCTCTGACCCCGCCTCAGACATCCATCTGCAGTAAAAGGTGACAGTTTAGATCTCAGGAAGAAGGTGGACAATTCTCCCCACGTCTTTTTCACAATTTCTCATCAAGCACGCATTGGGCACAGGCACTGTTCAAGGCACAGAGATGAGAAAGATAAAAATCCCATCCTTCCGGAAGCTCCTGCGCTAGAGGGGGAGGCGGGGAAATGTATACATGTTTTTGGCCACAAACCAATGTGCCTAGGAGTTACATGCATGTGCCACGGAAGGAAGTGGATAGCATCACGGCTGATAAGATGCCCGGGCCCCGGGCCTCCACGCTCTTGAGCCATAGGTCACGTGCAAGAGGCCACTGCATGGCTTAGAGGCCCGGTCAGGGCGCTGTGGGGATGGCAGTACCTGACGGATATGGAGAAGTCCCCGGGGGAGCTCTGGCTGGCCCGGATGACGAAGAAACCAACCTCCTTGGCCATGAGCGAGTTCTCTGCCTGGTGTCGCGAGAGGCCTTCGTGAAACCATCTACCGGGAGAGAGAAAACCACAGGGTTTTGGTGAGATGCCGGAGCGATAGGCGGGGGGAAGTACTGGCAGAGGTGAGATAACCCCAGGGAGAGAGGCTGGGGCAGCAGCAGAGAAGGAGGGAGAAGGGCCAGGCGCTCTGGAAGCCCAACAAATGTGCGGCGTGTTCAGGCTCAGCGATCCCGTCGGCTCCTGGAGGAGCCCGTCCAGCTCAGAAAACCTGCATCATGGAAACGGGCGGCTGCACCAGAATGGGACCTCGTGGGGACTGGCTCTGCTGGCAACTGCAGGGGGGAAGCTGTGAGGGAAGAACTCCAGGGACATCCCTGTGCCAGGTGGACAGGGACCCTTGCAAGCACTGGAGGTGGCATCGGGCAGAGCTGGGGAGGGCCTGGGGCTGGGCTCCAGGGCTGAGACCTCGGGACCAGAAGGAGAGTCGCAGCCCAGGGCCCACTCTCACTCAGTGGCCAGCCAAGGCTGCAAGGCATCTTGGAAGCTCTGCACACACACTTGGGAGTGAGTGAGGTCAGCAGCAGCAGGGGAGCCACGTCTACAGAGCGGGCTCCTGGGCCTCAGAAACCCAGGCTGGCAAGAACCTTCACTGCGGGAAAGGAGGAACCGAGGAGAGTCTGCCCTTTCGAGGGGGCAGCGAGGGTGGCAGCCTCGGAGGGGTCAGGCCGCCCGTGGTCTATGTAAAAGGCTGTATTCCTAGTATCTTCACTGTAAGCTATTTGCCAGAAACATCTCTGTCACAAGCCCTTTTGCCCTAAACATTTTCACCGCATAACTAATGGTTAGAAGGCCATTTTGCAGTAAAAAAAAAAAAAAAAAAAAAAAAAGTTAAAAACACGACAAATAAAAGAACATAAAATTGGAAGGGCTTTATGTGAATATGGTGTAAGTGTGTGCGGCTTCATGGCAGTGCTGCACAGGTAACGGACTTTATTTTGGGGATCGTCGCTGAGCACATGTCTTTGTTCTGTGGGAAATGTGGGTTCAGATCTGTGCCCGCACAGGGCCTCGCTTCTCTCCTCCAGTCAGTGTGTTTGGACACAAGAAACCCACCTTGGGGGCCCATCTTCCTTCCCTGGAAGAAACGCTATGTTAAGACCCAGCCACGCCTCCTCTCTGCACAGACTGTGCAGAGGGTTAACACTCAGACAGCACAGCAATGGGAGGAACTGCGAGTGCTTGTCATGGAGAAACGAGACAAAGTGACAACTAGCTCACATGCACTGTGTGTGGAAGGCAATTGATCGGTTCATCAATGGAGAAATGAAACCAAACAAGCAAAAAAAAAAAAAAAAATCAAAATCAAACTGTCAAACGGTTATTTTCTTTTTTATGGCAGTTGATTGATTTGTCAATAAAGAGATGAAGCCAAAACAGAGAAAATAACAACTGTCAACCAGTTATTTATCTTTTTTGTTGTTGTTGTAAAATTGCCTAAATTCAGCCAATTAGTTATATGGAGAAATGTCTGCAGCAAAATATCTACAGCAAAGACTCTACCAGGAAGGTACCCAGAACGGAAAGGGCCAAACACTTCCACAGGCCAGGCCAGCAGTGGCTGCCGCCTCGGAGGAGGCCAGACACTCAACCACAGGAAAGTGAACCAGTATTTGCGATCACTCAGCGGCCAAAGGTGGGACTGGGGCCCATTGCTCCCAGTTGGCTGCCCTAATTGCTGCCACTGGGAGGCCAGGATGCATCCCTTTAAGGTGAATGTCCAGCAGCGCGGCTTGGGATGTCTCTGTGAGCGCCCCCTGAGCTCTCTAGAGCCCAGGAATCTGAACAGACGGGGCGGCGGGCGGGATGCCCTTATTCCAGGACTGCGGGGGGCGGTGTGTGTGTGTGGGGGGGACTCTGAGGGGCTGGAAGCAGAGGGTCTGCTGATCACTTGCCTAGAGTCCTGCCCAGAGTGTTTGCCACAAGCCCTGCAGGGATTTGTGCAGGAAACCTAAGGGGATGGGAACAGGAACGGGACATGCTCCACAGCAGCCACACCTCAAAGGAAACGTATCAGACGATGTAGCAGGCAATGGGGGGGTCATTTAGAAAATACACATTTGTCCTCCGACTGGAATTTGATAAATGACACTTTGCAAAACTTGCAAAGCTGTCCACACACTACATATTAAATGCGTGGCCAGGGTTTCAATGTTACATTTCATTCCAAAGCCATTCATTCATTCAACAGCTTTTATTCACAAGTGCGGGGCCAGCCCTGCGTGGGTAGCTCAGTTGGTTAGAGAATTGTGCTCATATGCCACGGTAGCGGGTTGGATCCCCAATCAGGGCACATACAAGAATCAACCAATGATGCATAAATACGTGGAACAGCACATCAATATTTCTCTCTCTCTCTCTCTCTCTCTCTCTCTCTCTCTCTCTCTCTCAAATCAATAATTCAAAAAAGTGTGGGCCCTCTTCTGGGCACTGTGGATAAATGGTGAGCAGAAGAGACAAAAACCCCTGCCTTCAGGGACTTTCTATTCTAGGGGTGGGGCGCACAGTAAACGGCAGAGTGGTTCCAGTGGGTAGTGTGTCCAGGAGGGTAAGAGCGTGGAGAAGGAACACAAAGAGCAGGGGTGGGGTGTAGGGTGTTTACCATACTGTGCCACGAGGGCCTCACTGGGAAGGCGTTTTCTAAACTAAAGGAGCTTGGGAGGATGAGGGGAAAGCAGCAAAGGGGACGGAGGAGCAGTCAGGAGGAAGGATGTCCCAGAGCCAAACGAAGAGGAGGGGAAAAAAATCAAACTGTGCTGAGATAATGGCCAAGAATTGACCACCGGGACTGTATGTAGTTCACTGTGACCTTGATAAAAAGCATTCGCAGGAGTGGAAGGGTTCTAGAGAGAGTGGGAGTGGAGGAGGTAGAGATGATGGATATAAACAATTCCTTCGAAGAAGTATAGTGGTAGCTGGAAGGGGATGAGGGACCCAGAGCTTTTTGGTTTTGGTTTTTGGCTGGAGATGGGAGAAATTGCAGGGGGATGATGAGCAGAGGGAAAGAGAGTTGATGTGGGAGAGAGAGGGGAGAATTTTGCTGGAAGCACAGAAGGTTCTTTCCAAGCAGTGTCGGTGCAGTGGCAGGAGGCGGGTGGATGCAATGAGTCAGGAGCGGGTGGCGTGGAAGGGCTTTTCTGGTGGTTTCCACCGACCCAGGGACCCTGGCTGAGAGTGGGGGGTGGAGGCGCTGGAGGTTGAGGAGCAGGGCAGGCATGATGTCACCCAGAAGACTGGGGGGAGGGGGAGGGCGTGAGGTCAGTGGTCAGCACTGGTTCACAGGAGTGTCCCTGTACTTCCCCGCTTTGGTTTTCTAGCAAACCTTTGCTCGTTGGCTAGTCCCTGCCGCTCAGACAAGATTAGCTTTCTATCTAACCTTTGTGGTCAGTTCTTGAGACAAATGAGATTCAATCTCAAATTTTCATTTCCTCTTTATGAAGGGAACTTCCCCTTCTCACCCACTGACTTCTCCTTTTGGTGTGAGCGTGGTTTAAGGCAGGCAGGGAGTGTCCGCGCCTGACTAGGGCCGGAGTTGTTTGGGATCCCCGGCTGGGAGGGAGGGCTGGCTGGCTGGGAGGTAATGGAGTGCTTTGTAGTAGCTGCTCTTGAAGTTCAATGGCCAACAGTGCCCCCAGTGGAATTCTTGGAAACCCTGTGATTACAATTATAGATGATTTTAGTTTATGAACTTTAAACAGGTGGTATAAAATTCAAAGGAGAAGGCAGTGAAATGCAAATCTCCCTCCCACCTCTGGCCTTCAGCTGTGTGGTTCCCTCTCAAGGCAACCATTTTTGACAGTCTCCTGGCGTGCGTGGATAATTTTAGTGACTACCGAGCAGTAAGGGGAGTGTGTGTGGGTAGGCCCGTCTCAGCAGGCTGGAAATACTTACTCAGGAAACTGGATGTCTATAAAATTCTTGGGCACGTATCCTTCTTGGCTGCCAAGCTCTGCCTTGAACCACTCCTCTTGGTTACTTAAGATCTACATGGAAGAGAAGGAAGGACAAAGACACTGTAGGGAGGACACCGAGAAGCAAAGGAAAGGGGCTGCGGGGTGAAGAATGCTCTTTTATTTTAGGTTTAGAGAAAATAAACCAAAGAAATCAGCAGCTGCCCTAGAGGGGGAGCTGCAGAGCTATTTTGGGGTTTAGCTTTTCTTTACCTCCGGCTATTTCTGTCCTTGAGTGCCACCTACACAGGTGCCCCCACCATGGAGTGGCCTCCAGACTCAGCACTCAGGGGCTTCCCGGAACCCCTTTCTCTTTCTGGTTTGGAAATTCATGTGCCCCAGACCTTAGCACCTAAGCTCATTGTCTGGGCTGACGGTAAGAAGGCAAGAGTGACTGCACCATAATTTTTTTCTGTGTCAGGTAACCAGGAACCTTTTAAAAATTTAATTTGCTCTATTTTTCTTTTGGAAACAAGCAGATTAAAACATAAATATCCAAGTGGGGCCAGCTTTGAGAACAGTAACTCTTTGTGTTCACAGGCCATGTGGTTCACAAACAATTTGGGCATAAGTCAAGATATCTACAATGCCTTTTTAAAACTTGCTTTTTATTTTATTTATTTTATTTGCAATCACACATATTCTTGATACATATCTTAGCATCAAGACTATATAAAGACTTCTCAAAATACAACGGTATAAAAGCCCAAACAATCCAAATAAAAAAGAACAAAAGACATGACAGGCAGCCATTTCATTAAAGAGAATATACAGATGGCAAGGAAGCACATGAAAAGGTGTTCAATATTATTAGTCATTAGAGAAACACAAATTAAGATGACAATGAGTTATCACCACACACCTATCAGAATGGCGAAAATGAAAAGCGAAGGTAGCACCAAAGACTGCCCCGGATGCAGAGAACTGGACCACTCCCACACTGCTGGTGGGAATTAAACTCGCTGTTAGAGCCAGGTCACAGGTCAAACCAGAAGTCCTGCCTCGCTATGGCATGGTCCTCCCTTGACTGTGATCCCAAATGTTATCATCTCCTGTGATTACACATGTGGCTGGCCTGCCTTGGCTCTATGTGACCTTTGGTTATTTTAGGAAATGTTTCGCCATTAAAAGACAAGTATTTGCCCACAGCTCCCCTCTGAGAACGTTTCTATAGTATGTGGCATAGACTTGAACAATAATTCAAAACCAAGATGGCAGAGAAAGAAGGTGGGAAGAACCCTGATGATGCCATTGAGCCATGGGATCAGCCACCCAGGAGCCCGCCTACTTCTGGACTTTGGATGAGAATTAATAAATCTTTAACAATTTTTAGTTTCTGTTTCTTGTAGCTGAGAGTGTGTTAACTGATAGGAGTGCTGTGATGAAAGGGAAAGCAGAGGGCGGATCGAAAAGGCTATCTGGAGGAGGGGACATCTGGGCTGTCCAGGCAAAGACAGGAGCTCCCAGGAGAAGTCTGATGTCCAAAGAACCACTTCCGGGATATGTGAAAGTGCAGTGCATTCTGGGAGTGAATGCCTCACTCTGGTGGGAGTTTAGATCGTTGTCCAGAGATAGGGAGAGGGGAAACCAGACACCCAGCTTCATGGCCCATGTTGACAGTTTGAATTTTTTATCTTGACATTTATGGGAACCATTGAAGGATGAGCCATTAAAGCAGGGACATAACACAGTGAGAATGAGAGAGAAGAAAGAGCGCAGAGATCGAGAGGAGGGGGAAAGTCGGGGAAGGAACTGCAGGAAGGCTACTGCAGACATCCAGGCGAGAGACGGAGGGATCTGGCCTAAGAAGAGCTGAGACACATTTTAGAGGAATCAGGAAGCAAAATGGGCAGGATTTCATGACTGCTTGTGGAGCGAAGGGAGAATGGGGATTCTGGGAAGGATTTCTGGCTGGGGAGGCTGAGTGGGTGGTGATGCCTTCACTAAAATAGAAAACACAGGAGGAGGAGCAGGTCTGAGGGGAACACATGGGCCTCAGCGTGTGGGTGAGCCAGGCTGCCTCCGGGACGTCTGAGGAGAAGAGCTCGGGGAGCAGAGGGAGACACGTGTCTGGACTCAGCAGCGGGGTCGGGATGCTAGATTCGCCGGAAAGTGGGTGGAGTTGCGGCCATAGGTCCCCTGCATTTCTCTGTCCCAGAGACAAATAGAGAACGAAAGGGAGCTAAGTGATTGAGAAGCGACGATGGCCTCTTTCTACTGTCCCTCCTGAGGTGCAGGGAAGGGGACAGCACGTTGAGTTTGGAATGAGAAGACCTGGCTTCTAGCTTGACCCGGCACTCGCTGCGTGACCTTTGGCAAGTCAACTGACCATCCGAAATACGGGGACGAAAACCCGGGCTCATGCTTTGATGTGAAGATCAGGGGAGCCCTGTACCCGGACTTCCTTCAGAAGGAGCGTGCTGATTTTCAAAAATATAATTCTGTAAAGTGAGATTTCTTATGAGGGAGGACTCCAGCTCTGAAGGACACAGAGGGTTTTGTAAGTTCTTGAACGCATTCTGTATGTGTGTCTTGAGTACAATCATTTGTTATGAAGAAACAAAAGTGTCCCATAACTAAGTTCTAGAATTGCTGAGAAAAGAAAATGTGACAGTTTCTTACACCAAATGTGGCTGCGCTGTCACTGGGAACGTGTGGTGTGTGTATGCGGAGGGGGCGGGGAGCAGAAAACTAGGTCAGAAGAAAAAGGAGGATCCACATACAGGCACGAGGGCGGTGTGAGGACGGTTCACGCGGGCCCGTGTCCCCGGGCCTATGGTTCCGGAATTCCCTTCTCCCGTCTCATGGCAGTTTGGAGTTTGGCCTGCGTGGCCAATGTCAAACAGGAGAGTGGGCAGGGATGAGGTGAAAGAGGCCATTTGGAAACTGGCTCTCCACAGGAGGAACCACATTCTGTGCTTAGTTCTCTGACCTGAAACTAGCTGTCATTTCAGTAAGCGTGGCTCACACCCATCCACCTCCTCCAGCGACTGATGCCGGCCCCTTCTCCCCACCACCTGGCGTTCGGTCTGCCTGAGACTGTGTCCACGGGAGGTGACTTTACAGCCTGTTTTTGGCGTCTAGAAGACAAAGTTTTTTTTTAAAAAAATCCATTTTCTGCAAAGAAAAGTATTTGGGGGGAGGTGGTTTCCTGTGCTCATCTCTCCATCTCCTGTCCCCCCCCCATCTCTGTCCCCATCACGGAAGCCTGAGCAAGGAGTTCGGCCTGAGCACGGAGGTCTGACGCCCCACTTCACCGTGTCTTCATTCTCATGACGCTGCCCACAGGACACACTGCTGGTTCCACAGCCTGACACTGAGTCTGATGTGGGAAGAGGATGAGATGTACAGTTGGGAGAATTTTAAAATTGGATGGAATTACTGCTCTTAGAGGCAGAGCAGAAATGTGAAATACTGAAGTAAATGACGCTGGATCAAATTAGTGCTTTTAGGTGGCTGTTTTAGTAGGAAGAATTGGGGTCGGATTAGATGTGCTACAGAACAGACAGACAGACTGACAAGTTCAACTGGCGCTGTGTAGCTGCAGGTCCGAGGTTTGACACAAACACAAAACACCTGGCGCCCAGCTTTTCAAATGCTCCTCTCACAGCAGAAGCGGGCTCAGGTCACCTGGCAGGAGTTCTCTGTTCACCATTCTGCCACCAGTATCTAGTGGGCACCTGCTGTTTGCACAGAGGTGCTGGGAACGCAGAGGTGAATAAGCTGGGGCCTTCGCCCCGCCTGGGGACTCACAGGCTGGAGGGGGTGGCTTGGTGGTGAGCTGGGCAGGCCTTTTTGTAGCCTCTAATGCAAAAGTCTGTTTAGCCTTTTATTTAGCTCTAAAGGCCAAACACAAAAGAGCATCCCGGGAGGGAGCTGCAGAGTCTGTCCAGAAATGGCTGTGAAAACAATGGTGAGGCTCCCAGGCGTTACTCAGCTCTGGGGGGAAGGCACAGGCTTTGCGGCCATATGCAGAGGGTCCCACAGGCAGGGCCCCTAACCCCGCGCGGCAGACACGCTGTGAAGCTCGGCCAGAAAGCCCCGCTGCTTTTCTCTTCACTGCACAGCTGCAATGGGCAGCGTTTAAAAAGAGAGAGGAGTCTGACCTTCTGATGGAGTTCCACACGAGCCTGCAGAAACGCAATCCAGCCATTCAAGAGCACCTGTTTGGGGCCGTGATTTGTACTAGATGCTGGGAAGATGCAAAGACGGCATGGCTCTGCTCCCAGTGAGCTCACAGATCCGGGGAGGGGTCAACCATTCATTCACTTACCACCTACTAGGGAGGGTCACCTTTCTGTTGTTCTAACACTGAGGCAGACCCAGCCCCCGCCCTCAAGGAGCTTTGTTCTGTGGCCAACACACAAATGGCCATCAGATCCCACAGGGCAAGGACAGCAATCCGAGGTGCATGTACAGGCACATCAGAGCACGGGCGCTCGGCCTGCCCATAAATAACTGTCATGTAGGCAGGATCATAAATGCCTTGAATAAAGTGCCTGGGAAATGCTATGGAATCGCTGAAGAGGGAGTACTTACCATTGATAATTTTCCAGGGCAGTAAGAAGCGGGAGGGTTGGTGAGGGTTCTGGGGCAGAGGTGGTCAAATGTGTGTGTGTAGGAGAAGGGCATTTGGAGGATGGGGAGAGCATGAGAAAGAGTGGTGTGTAGTGTGTCCTGTGTGGGGGGAGGGGAGGCATTAGCACACAGAGATGTGTGTGTGTGTGAGCATGATGAAGCTGGGGCCAGACGGCTTAGATTTCAACCAATTGGTAATGGGGGACCAATGAATGCTTTTGAATAAGGAAGTGACATAATCTGATGTGTCTTCCAGAAAGATCTCTCCGGGACTAGCGTAGAGGATGATTGAAGGAGGAAGATACAGGAGGTGATGAGGTCAGTCAGGGGGCTGTGGCCATAGTCTGAACAGGCAGAGGCAGCAGGAATGAGTAATATGAATAATACGGTGGCCGCTCACTGAGCATCCGCTTTGGGATGGGACCATTACCTCTAATCTGTCCCACAACCCTGCAGAACAGATATGGCGTCCACCTACAGAAGACACTGAGTCTCAGGGGACAAGTGACTGGCCCAGGCCGCACAGCTAGTGAGCTGGATTCAAACTCAGATTTATCTGCGTGCAAAGCCCATGCTCCTTCTGACTGCATCGGCTCCTCTCTAGCAAAGAAGGTGTTTGCTTGAGAAATCTCATCGAAGAAAAGGGTTCAGAGCAGAGGACAGTGCTTGCAAGTCAGACAGAACTCTATTCAGATCCAGGAGAGGGAGTTAGCAGTGTCACACCCTGCAGGCATCTTAGCAGGATCAGTATATCCTATAAAAGGACATCGCTGGTGGATTTTAAGAAAGTGTTGGGGGTGAAAGTCAGATTCCAGGGTTCCCGTGGAAAGAATGGGAAGGGAGGGAGTAGAAGCACCAGCACAGAGAATCCATCCCAGTATTGTCAGCAAAAGAGAGATAGGAAACTGGAAGCTGGATTGAGAAACGGAGTTAAGGGAAGTGTGTGTTTTTTTCCTTTTAACTTTTCTGGAGAATAGGGAAATTTTAAACAAGATAGTAAGCTCTATTTGCAATGAGAGATGAGTCATATGTTCACAATACCCATGGGTAAGGGAGAGATTGCTCACCAGGTGGCAGACCCTTCTGTGACCTTGATAAGATCCCAAAGAATTGAAGGTTGCTTTTTCCTGAGTCAGCAGCCAAAGGGCATTTTAACCTTGAAAAGCTCTAACATCGAAGGCACATTTTTTTGCAACCACCTTACTTGCAAGGTGAGAACAGCCAGAAGGACAAATGTTGGGGGTGTTCAAGTTCCAAACCAAGGCATCCTACCTGGCTTGTGCTCCACAGACACTTTCTGAGTCACCTCTCCTGTACCGACACGTGTCTTTCCATAACAAGCATGATCTTAGCGTTGAGACAATGGTGGCCTCTGTGCTGCTGGGAGCCAGATCAACAGCCGAGGCGCTCCGAGGCCAGGCAGGGGGATACTGGCATCTCAGACTCCCCAACGGTCTCCTGAAGACCACCTTTACTCTTTTGCACACAACAGGGGCTAAGATGCAGTCTGCCAGTGTGAGGCATGACATTTGGAAGAGGTCCAAGGCCTCTTCAGCTTTGCTACAGCTCCAGTGTAGGCTGGGTGTGCGTGGCCTTGGTTGAGTCCTGTTTCCGCCTACACCCTCATCTTGTAGCCCCAGCCCCGCTGAGTCTCACAATGTGCACAGAATCCCACCTGGGCTTGCTCCTTTCGGAGCCTCAGCAAACAGCCCAACTCACCTTCATGACATCCTCACACCTGATGTTGCCACAGTGATTACAAACCACCTTTCACGGTGGGACCACTTCCTCCCTCACCTGTGCTCCCTGAGCTCTTGGATAAGAGCACCTACAACAGCCCTTCGGATGGATTGGTTTCCCCTCCAGAGACAACAGGCATCTCAGGACAAGGATGATGTCTTATCCAACCGCACTTCTATCCCCTGGGCTGGTAGCTGGCACCCAGGTGCTCAGAAGGAACCCTTTTGATTGAGGTGAACTTCTGTTTTGGAAAGGAACCATGTGTACTTCTTTAGAGACAAAGGTACGCATAGTTATTTTAAGTCAGTGGCCGGACAAGAGTAACCTGAACTCCCCAGGGCGCTCCCGGGCCTCCAATCACCTACCTTCAGAGTGTCTCCAGCACGAAAGCTCAGCTCATCCTCGCCCGAGGCGGCGAAATCAAACTTGGCGATGGCTTCCATGTTTGGGAGGAGAAGCTGGAAGAAAAGGAACGTGGTCATTGTGCTTTCTGCCGGGAGAAGGGCAGCAGTCTGAGCAGTGGGTAGGCGAGTGGTCCACTGTCTCAGGCTGGAGAGCGAGGCGCAGGCGTACTGTGGAGACTTGTTTTTGAGAGGAGTCCTGCTGGAGCCCTTGGGGCCTGCTTCCTGGCATCACTCTCTGAATCCCCGGATGCCAGGAGCAGGAAATGAAAGCCAGACTGACTGACTCTTCATCTCCCTTTGCTTGGCCCGGTCCGGCCTGTCACCATTTCTGGGCATCTCCATTTCTGGTTCACAGGAAAGGAGACTTGTGATCATCTCTAACCTGAGGCCTGATGGGCCTGAAAGACTTTTCTTTAAACACAGTTTTTAAATGTGCCTTCAGTGTTAGAGCTTTTCAAGGTCAAAATACCCTTTGACTGCTGACTCAGGAAAAGGTGACCTTCAATTCTTTGGGATCTTATCAAGGTCACAGAAGGGTCTGCCACCTGGTGAGCAATCTCTCCCTTACCCATGGGTATTGTGAACATATGACTCATCTCTAATTGCAAATAGAGCTTAATATCTTGTTTAAAATTTCCCTATTCTCCAGAAAAGTTAAAAGGGAAAAGACACACACTTCCCTTAACTCCGTTTCTCAATCTAGCTTCTAACTTCCTGCCTCCCTTTTGCTGCCAATACTGGGATGGATTCTCTATGCTGTCTGAGGCGACCCTTGGAAGCTATATCTTTTTTTTTTTTTAATATATTTTATTGATTTTGTACAGAGAGGAAGGGAGAGGTATAGAGAGTTAGAAACATCAATGAGAGAGAGTCATTGATCAGCTGCTTCTTGCACACCCCCTACTGGGGATATGCCCGCAACTAAGGTACATGCCCTTGACCGGAATCGAACCCAGGACCTTTCAGTCCCCAAACCGACGCTCTATCCATTGAGCCAAACCGGTCTCAGCTGGAAGCTATATCTTACCAGGTGGTGTGAATTGACAGATGCCATGGCATCTTCACATCTGAATCATTTAAGAGAATTAGACAGTGCTGGCCAGTGGGGACCGTCAGGTCCTTCTGTTTGTTTGAGAGTAGAAAGCTTTCTGGTTTTAGAGTTGGGAGACTCGATTAGTCAGCTTCCTAATTTATGTTATTAATATTGTGTAAGCCAAGTACATTTGGAAAATTTTCATTTTAGTACTTCTGAGTTGAGTTAAAATATTGACCCCTCTTAGTAACAGATGAAACCTGTGTAGAGAGAAATAGGTCAGCCTACAAATGAAATAGAGGTTTTTGTTTTTGTTTTTTGTTCTAGGAGACAGTGGGGATGTAATAGGGAGCTGAGACCTGATTTTGTTGGTGAATGGTTGCAAGTAACTAGCTTCTTGGAGTCTCAGTTTCCTTGTCTGTAAAATGGGGTCATAATATTCAACTACCCTGTTTCCCCGAAAATAAGACAGTGTCTTATATTAATTTTTTTCTCCCAATGTTACGCTAGGTCTTATTTTCAGGGGATGTCTTATCTTTCTACATGCTAGGTCTTATTTTCGGAGGGTGTCTTATTTTCAGGGAATCACGGTAGTAAGAGGGTGCAATTAAACTAAATAGATACAAAACATTATAGAAGGTAAAGCTAAATAGCATTTTTGTTTTAAAATAATCTGATGGGATGAATTTCTCCTCAGCAAAGGTAAGCTGGCTAACAGCAGCACAAGTTTCTTCTCATCTCCTCCGTCTCCTAGAACTTTTCTCATTGAAATTTGGTATTTATTCTCCATGACCCTCAAACCCTTTGGTCCTCTGCTAAAGATGGCTTACTGTCAGGACAGTCTTGAAAGCTGTTGTTTGGCTTTTATGTTTTGCAAAATTTGCCCAAATCTGAAACGCTTTAGGTTAGTAACACTCAAACTTAATTGACTTTCGGTGACCAGCAAACTGGGACCAGCAAATTGTCCCCTTAGTGGAGGTTTCGGCCTAAGTGACAAGACTTAGGAAGGAAGGCCGCCCGGGTGGGAGGTGCAGCGGCCGAGAGCAGGGGGTTGGAGCCATTACTTCTGAATTTAGTTAAAATATTGACCCTCCTAGTAACAGAGGAGACCTGTGTAGTGGTGACAGCAAGGGACTCATCTCTTTGATTTGCCACATTTGCTTGGCCGTCCAAAGGTAATTTGTAGAGATGAATATTACCAATCCCAAAGAAAGATATTAAGCAAGACATATTTCAGGAGCCAAAGTAAAATGTCACTGCTGTCTGAGCCCTATCACACATCAAAATGATTCTGAAAGCGCAAGGAAAAAGTAGACTTTTTGTACACTTTCTTCAAGATCTGTCTATCTAAGGCACATTAAAATTCTTGTGACCTAGGATGACCTACTCAATGGGAAGGCCTATTCTGCCCTTCACAGTGAGAGCTAAATGCCTTTGATGGTTTGATTCACTCCATTACTTTAACATCCAAAGCTTCCCCTAATTAGGCCTTGCCTCTAGTTGGCACCGCAGTAAGATGTGGTGTCTGAGGGTCACCCTCACGGTATCAACAGTGGACACTGGCCACTTCAGGAGATCAAGTGTCAGGTGAATGGTCCTGAAAACCAAGATCCCATTTCCATGCAAATTTACCTTAATGAGCAGGATGGAGACCGGGGGAGTGCAAATGCAAAACACATTAGAAAGCCACATAAATTAGAGATGAAAAGAATATTCAAGGCCTGCTCTAGATGTGACCTTGAGCTTGGGAAGAGCTTTCCTCTATGACATGGAACTCCGATTACGCCCTCAGCCCAGGCTGGCTGTAAGTCACTTCAGAGAGAGAGAGAGAGAGGCTGAGGTGGAAGCAGAATTGCCTCTGAATAGGGGCACTTTTCTCCTTCCCCCACGAGGCAGGTGGCTGGCTTTCAACGACGCAGCCGCATCATATCGCTCCCCCGCTTATAATATTAATCCTGGCTCAGAAAACCCAATTAAGTAGGCCCACTCTTCATGAAATCGCTTTGAAAAAATTTGTTTGCATCCCATTTCCATTTGTGAAATGGAATCTGTTCAGCTGCTGTTCGGTAGGAGGAAGCTGTTCATGGGGGAGTGAGGTATGCTTTGTTTTGGTTCAAATCGCAGGGCTTTGCAAACTCTTCCCTTGATTTTACCATTCTCTGCCTCCCTAATGGTAGAGGATGGTCCATGGGCCACCCCTGGAGGCCAGTCTCCTGTGTGAGCATAGAAATGCCTAACAATGTATTTCTCATTCCTCAATAGCCATTCGTTTTAATTTAATTTGGGAAAGTTTAAAATTGCCACGAGGGAAGAATAAAACTGAATTAATGTAGTTTATTCAATATTTATCTGTTTGTTTTATAATCTGTACCCACTACCACTGCATACTGCATCTGGGAAACTAAATCTATGAATATATGATAAAATATGGTAGCAACACTTTTGAGACAGAAAACAGGAGAGAGAAAGATGAGAGAGAGGGGATGGGAGAGAGAGAGAGGAATATGAAGGGGCGAAGAGAAGCGGTTTCTAGAATTAGAATTCCAGAGTGCAATGCCTTCTCCATGCTGTCTGCAGTAACTGTGCCACTGACCTCACAGGGAGCAGAAGACAGAGCCACCCTTCAGAGGCCTCCCAGCTGGATTAAGTGTGCTTTTCCTGCCAGTGACCAGCTTTAGAAATGGCTGCAATGCTATCTGCCATACAGTGTGCCTGAGAAGTGACAGTTTCCAGGGGCAGGCAAGCCACCTCCAGCAGCCTCCCCCTGCCCACCCCAACCCGGCGACAATGCCATTTATCCAGGAATCCTACCTCAGAGCCGTGCAGGGCTCCTGCCCCTGCTGTGCCCTCTGCTTCTCCCCAGCCCTCCGCATCTGCCTCACTCCCCCTTCACTAATGGCAGGGAACAGCCATTAGCAGCCCCGCGACACAGATCTGCCTCACCGCGGGGCAGCACCGCACAGGACTCCACGCACGAGTTTCTCTGCCCTTGCACTTCCATCCAAGCTTCTTTTACCACCCAAGAACCCGAGAAAGTATTCAGACTGAACACCAGGAATGCTTCTCTATGTCTGAAATAGTCAGCACAGAGAGTGGAAACAAAAGCCAGGAGACAGTGCTGTGACAGACCCATCCGTAACTGATGTCATTTAGCTACATACGAATACCTGTCACACATCATGGCCACACACAGAGCAATTCTGGTGAAATGCAGCTGATGAAGCATCTCATCTTCTGTAATTTCGAATACTGCTCTAACAACAAAGTCACGTGATGCCAAATTAATTGGATTTTGCAAGAAGAGCTCTTGCAACTAAACTCTCAGCCTTTCCCCTCCGTCCTTCAGCAACTTAGTATCTGGAGCCATTAAGAATTTTTTATTTTTATTTTTATTTTATTTATTTTTTTATTGATTTCTTACAGAAAGAAAGGAAGAGAGATAGAAAGCTAGAAACGTCGATGAGAGAGAAACATCAACCAGCTGCCTCTTGCACACCCCCCACTGGGGATGTGCCCACAACCAAGGTACATGCCCTTGACCGGAATCGAACCCGGGACCTTTCAGTCCGCAGACTGACGCTCTACCACTGAGCCAAACCGGTTTCGGCAGAATTTGTTTTTTTAAATCAAGAAGGCATACAGAAACCTTTTCAAATTTTTTATATGATTTGTTCCTGCAGATGTAGTTCTATCAAAAGACCTTATTTCACCTTAAGATATTTGTTGCACTGCGACCTCTGTGCACTGCTGTGCTTAGAAATGTCTAGTTCAGCTCATTAAAAGCTGTAAAACCAATCTGTATCATGTACCAAACTGATTGAAGGTAGATCTACATGTTTATTGAAAAGAAAATCCTTAATTAGAAGCCAGAAGAAGTGGATGTGTTCAGAAACACATGGTTACCATCAAAATGGTAAGAAACCTCTAAAAAGACTTCAGCTCCTCATAAGATAGCTAAGACTAGTCAAGGTTTCTGTTTTATGCGGCTCTTCCCAAGAGCAATTGC